AAAGAAGAAAACTTCAACTCTTCTACAAAATGCATACTAACCAAACACCTGGATATCTTTCCTCGTTACTTTTCTCTACTGTACAAGATCAAGCTCAATATTCTTTGAGAAATAGTAATAATTATAGAATTCCCTTTTTCCGTCTTTCTACAACTAATTCTTCTTTCTTGCCGTCTACTATGCGTTGTTGGAATAATATGGATAACTCAATCAGGTCGTCATCCTCATTAAGTGTTTTTAAAAAGTCTCTTAAACCTATCGATCACATTTCTCCGCCTTCTCATATTGGGATAGGTGACCGTAAATTAAATATTATGCTAACGAAACTTAGACACCAGTGCAGTTCTTTAAATTATGATTTATTCAGGATAAACCTTGTTGATACCCCCAGTTGTTCTTGTGGACATCTGTGTGAAAATTCTTATCATTTTTTCTTTATGTGTTGTCATTATAATTTACAAAGAAATGTTCTTTTTCAACATTTAGATGATTTAAATTTACCCATACATTGTGATTTAGATTTGATATTGTATTGTAATAATGATCTTTCTTTTGAAACAAACTCGAAAATTGTTTTGAACGACCAAAACTTTATTAGATCTAGTAATAGGTTCACATGACGTCATCCGCCTAAACCTAAACTACCCTCTCAATCCTCCTCCTCTCTCTCTCTCTCTCTCTCTCTCTCTCTCTCTCTCTCTCTCTCTCTAGTGTATTTGTTGCCATATGGTTATTGCGTTGTCTAACTATATTTTGTTATATATTGGGGAAAGGGTGTTTCATAATTTTTAATAACTTGTACCTAATCCTGTTGTAATAATTTTTTGCAATGAATATGATTAATTCAAACATTTGAGTGTAGACTAATATTTAACCCTGGTGCACTTTTAGTGCACATAGTTAAGACTAGGTTTAGGCGAGGTGTAGACTACAGATAAGCTACTAGTGCACTAGATGTGGTACAGGTGATTGACTCCCCCTAATATATAGGTAATGGGCAGTCTTTATGGCTACCTGTGGTTTTTACCTGTCTAATGTCAGTCCTTGCTCGTATAGTATTCTACAGTTAATTACCTTGTTTTTATTCTAATGTAAAGTCTTATGCATTGCATGGTATTCGAAATAAAATTAATTGAATAGATACATAATATTTGCGATGAATAAAAGCCATCCTGATTTAAGGAGAAATTATATAATTTATAGAGTTTTCGTTGGTTGGAAATTAATCAATTGAACGCATTATATACTGTTAATTGACAACCAAGTAATAAAAATAAGTGTTAGATAGATATAAAAAAATAGCTGTTAGATAGATATAAAAATAGCTGTTAGATAGATATAAAAAATAGCTGTTAGATAGATATAAAAATAGCTGTTAGATGGATATTAAAATAGCTGTTAGATAAGATAGATATAAAAATAGCTGTTAAATGGATATTAAAATAATTGTTAGATAGATATAAAAATAGCTGTTAAATAGATATAAAAATAGCTGTTAAATATAAAAAATAGCTGTTAGAACGATATAAAAAATAGCAGTTAGATATAAAAAATAGCTGTTAGATTAAAAAAATAGCTGTTAGAACGATATAAAAAATCGCTGTTATAACGATATAAAAAATAGCTGTTAGATATAAAAAAAAATAGCTGTTAGATATAAAAAATAGTTGTTAGATATAAAAAAATAGCTGTTAGATTAAAAAAATAGCTGTTAGATATAAAAAAAATAGCTGTTAGATAAAAAAATAGCTGTTAGATATAAAAAATAGCTGTTAGATTAAAAAAATAGCTGTTAGAACGATATAAAAAATAGCTGTTAGAACGATATAAAAAATAGCTGTTAGATATAAAAAATAGCTGTTAGATATAAAAAATAGCTGTTAGAACGATATAAAAAATAGCTGTTAGAAAGATATAAAAAATAGCTGTTAGATATAAAAAAAATAGCTGTTAGATATAAAAAATAGCTGTTAGATATAAAAAAAATAGCTGTTAGATTAAAAAAATAGCTGTTAGAACGATATAAAAATTAGCTAGCTGTTAGAACGATATAAAAAATAGCTGTTAGATATAAAAAATAGCTGTTAGATATAAAAAAATAGCTGTTAGATATAAAAAAAATAGCTGTTAGATAAATATAAAAATAGCTGTTAGATTAAAAAAAATAGCTGTTAGGTATAAAAAAAAATAGCTGTTAGATATAAAAAATAGCTGTTAGATATAAAAAATAGCTGTTAGAACGATATAAAAAATAGCTGTTAGATATAAAAAAATAGCTGTTAGATTAAAAAAATAGCTGTTAGATATAAAAAAAATAGCTGTTAAATATAAAAAATAGCTGTTAGAACGATATAAAAAATAGCAGTTAGATATAAAAAATAGCTGTTAGATTAAAAAAATAGCTGTTAGAACGATATAAAAAATAGCTGTTAGAACGATATAAAAAATCGCTGTTATAACGATATAAAAATAGCTGTTAGATATAAAAAAAATAGCTGTTAGATATAAAAAATAGTTGTTAGATATAAAAAAATAGCTGTTAGATTAAAAAAATAGCTGTTAGATAAAAAAAAAATAGCTGTTAGATAAAAAATAGCTGTTAGATATAAAAAAAATAGCTGTTAGATTAAAAAAATAGCTGTTAGAACGATATAAAAAATAGCTGTTAGAACGATATAAAAAATAGCTGTTAGATATAAAAAATAGCTGTTAGAACGATATAAAAAATAGCTGTTAGAACGATATAAAAAATAGCTGTTAGATATAAAAAAAATAGCTGTTAGATATAAAAAATAGCTGTTAGATATAAAAAAAAATAGCTGTTAGATTAAAAAAATAGCTGTTAGAACGATATAAAAATTAGCTGTTAGATTAAAAAAAATAGCTGTTAGAACGATATAAAAAATAGCTGTTAGATATAAAAAATAGCTGTTAGATATAAAAAAATAGCTGTTAGATATAAAAAAAAATAGCTGTTAGATAAATATAAAAATAGCTGTTAGATTAAAAAAATAGCTGTTAGATATAAAAAAAATAGCTGTTAAATATAAAAAAAATAGCTGTTAGAACGATATAAAAAATAGCAGTTAGATATAAAAAATAGCTGTTAGATTAAAAAAATAGCTGTTAGAACGATATAAAAAATCGCTGTTATAACGATATAAAAAATAGCTGTTAGATATAAAAAAAATAGCTGTTAGATATAAAAAATAGTTGTTAGATATAAAAAAAATAGCTGTTAGATTAAAAAAATAGCTGTTAGATATAAAAAAAATAGCTGTTAGATAAAAAAATAGCTGTTAGATATAAAAAATAGCTGTTAGATATAAAAAAATAGCTGTTAGAACGATATAAAAAATAGCTGTTAGAACGATATAAAAAATAGCTGTTAGATATTAAAAAAAAAAAATAGCTGTTAGATATAAAAAAATAGCTGTTAGATATAAAAAAAATAGCTGTTAGATTAAAAAAATAGCTGTTAGAACGATATAAAAATTAGCTGTTAGATTAAAAAAAATAGCTGTTAGAACGATATAAAAAATAGCTGTTAGATATAAAAAATAGCTGTTAGATATAAAAAAAATAGCTGTTAGATAAATATAAAAATAGCTGTTAGATTAAAAAAATAGCTGTTAGGTATAAAAAAAATAGCTGTTAGATATAAAAAATAGCTGTTAGATATAAAAAATAGCTGTTAGAACGATATAAAAAATAGCTGTTAGATATAAAAAAAAATAGCTGTTAGATTAAAAAAATAGCTGTTAGATATAAAAAAATAGCTGTTATATTAAAAAAATAGCTGTTAGAACGATATAAAAAATAGCTGTTAGATATAAAAAATAGCTGTTAGATTGAAAAAATAGCTGCTAGATAGATATAAAAAATAGCTGTTAGATATAAAAAAAAATAGCTGTTAGATTGAAAAAATAGCTGTTAGATATAAAAAAAATAGCTGTTAGATTGAAAAAATAGCTGTTAGAACGATACAAAAAATAGCTGTTAGATATAAAAAATAGCTGTTAGATATAAAAGTTTTATTTTTCATTTTGATAACGATACATTTTTTTCTAATATTTATTTAATATATCTAATGATACAGCTGTACAGGTAAAAACACAGGTAACCTTGGGTTGTAAACTCTGTGGGCCGAAACACCAGGAGAACTAAGGTGTAGTAAAACACAGGTAACCTTGGGTTGTAAAATCTGTGGGCTGAAACATCAGGAGAACTAGGGCGTAGTAAAACTCATGTAACCTTGGATTGCAAATCTCTGGGTTGAAACACCAGAACTAGGGTGTCGTAAAACTACAGGTAACCTTGGGTTGTAAAATTTGTTGGCTGAAAACACCAGAACTAGGGTGTCGTAAAACTACAGGTAACCTTGGGTTGTAAAATTTGTGGGCTGGAACACCAGCAGAACTAGGGTGTCGTAAAACTACAGGCAACCTTGGGTTGTAAAATTTGTGGGCTGGAACACCAGCAGAACTAGGGTGTCGTAAAACTCATGTAACCTTGGATTGCAAATCTCTGGGCTGAAACACCAGGAGACATAGGGTGTAAAAGTCAATCTACACTCAACTATAGCACACATTATAGCTCAGTAAATCATTCAGATGCTTTCCAAAAAGTTCACCCAGTAAATCAACATACAGAGGAAAACTATATAGTTTGATTTAAAGTGTTAAGGTTTTAAGACGATATCTGAGATGTAAATATTGTATTTATATACAGTATACAGTAATGAGTTGTCGCCAGATCGTATGTATTGTCAATATGAATGCAATCCCAACGAACGTGATCCTGGTTATCTGTCACCCAGATTTAGATATTGATTTCTTACTGTCACATCCCTATGTATTTATCAGTATAGTGTACTGAATTTTGGACAACGAAGTAAAAGTTATAAACAGCAGTAAATCAAAGAGGATAAAATCGATTTGTTTATTACCAGATTGTTAAATCTCATTATTACTTAGAATTGATTTGCTTCATTTAGAGGTATGGCGAGGATAACCAGTCCCTTTGTGTTCGCTGTGTGCCTGTCCGTCCTGTTTGAAGTGTCTTACGCCATCTGTCGGGTAGAGTAAGTGTCAAGAATTAATTACATACTAAGCTGTGTACGTCACCTGTTTACACCATAGGGACTCTCCAGGCACTATATAAGGATGTACGAAAATAATTCATCTGCTGTTTTTATATATATAACACTACATCGTATACTTCATTCCTAAAATAACATTATCATGTTGGTACATCTACAGATGAAGATGAATCGCCACACTGTGTTAATACATTGTACGTACTATATATATTACTGTACTGTTACACTATCTCACACACTATATATATTACTGTACTGTTACACTATATATATTACTGTACTGTTACACTATATCATACACTATATATATTACTATACTGTTACACTATATCATACACTATATATATTACTGTACTGTTACACTATCTCACACACTATATATATTACTGTACTGTTACACTATATATATTACTGTACTGTTACACTATATCATACACTATATATATTACTGTACTGTTACACTATATATATTACTGTACTGTTACACTATATCATACACTATATATATTACTGTACTGTTACACTATATATATTACTGTACTGTTACACTATATCATACACTATATATATTACTATACTGTTACACTATATCATACACTATATATATTACTGTACTGTTACACTATATCATACACTATATATATTACTGTACTGTTACACTATATATATTACTGTACTGTTACACTATATCATACACTATATATATTACTATACTGTTACACTATATTATACACTATATATATTACTGTACTGTTACACTATCTCACACACTATATATATTACTGTACTGTTACACTATATATATTACTATACTGTTACACTATATTATACACTATATATATTACTCTATTACTGTACTGTTACACTATATCATACACTATATATATTACTGTACTGTTACACTATATATATTACTGTACTGTTACACTATATCATACACTATATATATTACTGTACTGTTACACTATATATATTACTGTACTGTTACACTATATATATTACTGTACTGTTACACTATATCATACACTATATATATTACTATAGTGTTACACTATATCATACACTATATATATTACTGTACTGTTACACTATATTACACACTATATATATTACTATACTGTTACACTATATTATACACTATACATATTACTGTACTGTTACACTATATATATTACTGTACTGTTACACTATATTACACACTATATATATTACTATACTGTTACACTATATTTTACACTATATATATTACTGAACTGTTACACTATATTATACACTATAGATATTACTGTACTGTTACACTATATTATACACTATACATATTACTGTACTGTTACACTATATATATTACTGTACTGTTACACTATATTATACACTATAGATATTTATTTCAGGAATAACACCTATTACAATTTACATTTTGTTTACCCTTGATTTGAAATCTTTACAGTTGTGTCACCAACGAACGGCGGAGTGTCATGATTGAGCAGCTTGATCTCAATAAAAGTATAAATAGATTAATTTATAAAATATTAACGTTTTTGTGTTTGGGATATTGTTGTTTTAAGAAGTGCAATTCATTGTAAATATTGCCATATGTTAATAATGGGGATTGTATCTTAAGTAAGCAACGTCTTTACCTTGGAAATCGACCAAGTTGAGATTATCACATTTTACACATTGATGGTATATCGTTTGATAACATATAATCTAATCATTGCTGCAGCAATGACTGTTGGAACAATGAGCTGAACAATGGTCAGAAGTGTGTCCATTACAACGTACTCCAGAATAAGTGGAGTCTATGTAAAGTAGGACAGGTGTGCTTCTGTGAGACAGGTAAGTTCTACGCTTTACAGATAAATATGAAAATTAATGATAAGGTCATTCATAAGTCATCAGAAATGTGTTCATTGTCCACAACCTACCGTGTTTATGTGTTCAGTGTGCAGTACAGCTAAAATAAAAAGACGCTCGCCGCAAAATAAAAAAATTAAGCAATCTCTGTAGCCTTGGGAGTCAACAGAACACGTACGTCGGTGAGAGAACTCCTAGTGACTGGAAGAGTCACTGAGAGGTAAAACAGTGTCGCCAACCTCTTGTCAAATAATATATTGTCACTGCCTTCAAATTCTAGAGTAACAGAGTGTTTTGAAGGGTCATCCGGTAAAGTCATCTGATATAGATTTGGTTTTATAGTTATCAGATGTATTTATATATTTAGATGACATTTTAATTACTTTTGAACATCACTTTGACATTATACTTTCAAGAATTGACTGAAAGTGTAATTTTGATATAGTGATCAAAAGAAAAAAAAACAACAACCCTAGATGATTATAACATTTTCAAGATTTGAAGAGACCATGATATAGCTAACATCAAATGATCTGACGATGAGTTAGCGACACTGGGAAAACGTGTGACCACCCACTCACATATCAGTATGTGTTGTAATTCTTGTACATTGATAATTAGAGTCCTTAAGGGTTGATTGTCTGTATAAACATCACGTTTTCACATGTTCTATTTTAGGCTGCAAGTCAGGTGATGCAGTGTGGATGGATATACGTGGTCCTGATTCTATGTGTGCTTGTAATAACCCCGTCACAAACGAGGTACGCAAAACACTATTACCTAAAAGTCACATTTACACACCCTATTTAATTGTTTCAATCTGTGTTTGTAAGATCTTGATATAGATTTATGAAGGTAGCATTCACCAATCCTTGGTCTTATTGTTGTGTGACCGTTGTTTTTGAAGTATAAACATATTTTATTGACATAAATGATAGTTTTTTATGGCTGTTTGTACATATAAAGGAATCATACGCCTATATAACTGACATTCCTCGGATGAGGAGAGATATAGAAGAGACCTCAGCGGTTTTACTGTCCACCATGTACACACATGACATTAATATTGCTTTTGTTTATTTTTAACAGATGATTTGTATTGACATCTAAAGCAGCTGAAACATCAGCTGGTTTTCCTTCGACACTTCTATACGTTCTGAAGTCTGACCGATCAGCTGTAGTTTTAATAAAGTCGTTTTTATTATACGTTCTGAAGTCTGAACGATCAGCTGTAGTTTTAATAAAGTCGTTTTTATTATACGTTCTAAGTTGAAAATAAAGATTTAACTCGTTATTACATTTTAAAGTTTTCTTTTATGAATTAACAAAAGGAAAAGTACATGTATTCAAAAAGAAAAATAATTCTTACATCTACCGGGTCTGCCCTATCTTAAAATCACTACTGGTAATTCGTCAACACCTGACAAAAAATGGCGTCGGAATTGGTAGCGTGTTCAATATAATATGATTGGTTAGGATACCGTTTCATTTAAAGTTATAGGTTATTTAACTTCATATACGAACCCAAAACAGTGATATAGAATTACATATATCACGAGGATGGCTAAAGATCTACATATGGTCTCTCTTCCGCACAACGTATTTGGTGTGTTGCCCAATATACTTAAAACAAAAAACAAAAACAAAAACAAAACAAAAAACAAAAAAACAAAAAAAATTAAAAAAAAAAAACAAAAAAACAAAAAAAACAAAAAACAAAAAAAAAAAAAACCCTTTACCGTACATCTAGCGTTGGCTGATTAAATATACATTTTCTGTTACAAATGTGTTTTATAGGAAACTCTGTACAAGTTGCCAACAGTTTTACTGAAGTCGGTACCTGGTGTGAATCCAAAGATTGTCTCAAAGAATAAAACATATTACTTCACCTTACTCGAATTTGTTCAGTTGAATAAAACGCTTTATGTCCTATTTCATGTCATGTCTATCTAAAGAAGAGATAGAAGGGGCTATTGGCATACTCCAAGTTGGCACAAGTCAGTTTGGGTGTGGCCAAATGATGATATGTCAGTGTTTTGATAACCGATGACTCGAAATTTTGTCTGTAGTACAACGATGGAGGAACAGTTTGCAGACTGCTGTGTAGCCCATCGTGACAGATTTGGTGTCATGTTCTGGGGTGGCATATCCGGTGGGAGTCGACCCAGATAGAGTATTGCCAATGTCAATTTTAATGCAATTCGGTTTCTGGACGAAATAGGATGTCGCCGTACCAGTTTTACTGCGCCAAGGATCTGGGTCCATTTTGCAGCAAGATAATGCAAAACCCGAAGCCAGTTACGAGACTAGGACATTCTTACAGTAGAATGATGTCTAGATTTGCCAGTCTGCTGATTCCCTCGATTTGAACCCATTAAAGCACATCTTATATATTCTTAGAAGACAAATACGGCGTCCGCAAAATCCGCCATCCAACTTACAGCCACTGACGCAGGCATTGAACGAAGAATGGTACACCATTCCATGATATACAGGCTCTATGCGCCGGTGTTGTAATGTTGTGGTCCTAGACAATGGTAGTCACGCAACTTAATAACACCGTGTTTCAGAGATATTACCTTAACATTTCTTTTATCACCCAAAATCACTGAACCCTAACTTATTTTGGTCGGCATTTAACGTCCGTAAGCAGACATCCTCCTGAATCTTTTTAACCTTCATTTACAACATTTCAGTGGAACTTGACAACGACCGCCGATACAAATTTTGATGACCATTTTTTTTATTTGTTTAAGATATGATAAACATGGACAAAAACTAAGAAATTGGGCTATCCACGTTGTCATACTGTCGGTTGTCGAGTATATTCAGCGTGTTTTACACAATCCATTATTCAAATCGACTTCGACATTCGGTCACTAAGTATTCAATATTACATATGTTCGTTTCATCTCGTCACTACAATGGACAATGTATTATTCTTATATTATCATCATAAACAGCAACATGAACAAACCGATTTGATAATAATTAGTAAATACCAATATTATTTTAATGTAACAAAGATAATTATTGACAATAAATAACCTACTCATTGTACATAATATGGAAAAAATAATAATGAAACTATGACAAAAAAATACTACGGAATTAAAACCGGACAATATACCATAACACTGACAGAGGAAAGATTGATAGTTATAATACCATAACATAATAGTGGTCAACAGTCAACAGTCACATAACATTATAGTAGTCAACAGTCACATAACATTATAGTAGTCAACAGTCACATAACATTATAGTAGTCAACAGTCACATAACATTATAATGGTCAACAGTCACATAACATTATAGTAGTCAACAGTCACATAACATTATAGTGGTCAACAGTCACATAACATTATAGTAGTCAACAGTCACATAACATTATAGTAGTCAACAGTCACATAACATTATAGTAGTCAACAGTCACATAACATTATAGTGGTAAACAGTCACATAACATTATAGTGGTCAACAGTCACATAACATTATAGTGGTCAACAGTCACATAACATTATAGTAGTCAACAGTCACATAACATTATAGTGGTCAACAGTCACATAACATTATAGTGGTCAACAGTCACATAACATTATAGTAGTCAACAGTCACATAACATTATAGTGGTCAACAGTCGTAGTCAACAGTCACATAACATTATAGTGGTCAACAGTCACATAACATTATAGTGGTCAACAGTCACATAACATTATAGTAGTCAACAGTCACATAACATTATAGGAGTCAACAGTCACATAACATTATAGTAGTCAATAGTCACATAACATTATAGTAGTCAACAGTCACATAACATTATAGTGGTCAACAGTCACATAACATTATAGTGGTCAACAGTCACATAACATTATAGTGGTCAACAGTCACATAACATTATAGTGGTCAACAGTCACATAACATTATAGTGGTCAACAGTCACATAACATTATAGTAGTTAACAGTCACATAACATTATAGTAGTCAATAGTCACATAACATTATAGGAGTCAACAGTCACATAACATTATAGTAGTCAACAGTCACATAACATTATAGTAGTCAACAGTCACATAACATTACAGTAGTTAACAGTCACATTACATTACAGTAGTCAACAGTCACATAACATTATAGTAGTCAACAGTCACATAACATTATAGTAGTCAACAGTCACATAACATTATAGTGGTAAACAGTCAACAGTCACATAACATTATAGTGGTCAACAGTCACATAACATTATAGTAGTCAACAGTCACATAACATTATAGTGGTCAACAGTCAACAGTCACATAACATTATAGTGGTCAACAGTCACATAACATTATAGTGGTCAACAGTCACATAACATTATAGTAGTTAACAGTCAACAGTCACATAACATTATAGTGGTCAACAGTCACATAACATTATAGTGGTCAACAGTCAACAGTCACATAACATTATAGTGGTCAACAGTCACATAACATTATAGTGGTCAACAGTCAACAGTCAAATAACATTATAGTGGTCAACAGTCACATAACATTATAGTGGTCAACAGTCAACAGTCACATAACATTATAGTGGTCAACAGTCACATAACATTATAGTGGTCAACAGTCACATAACATTATAGTGGTCAACAGTCACATAACATTATAGTGGTCAACAGTCACATAACCTTATAGTAGTCAACAGTCACATAACATTATAGTAGTCAACAGTCACATAACATTATAGTGGTCAACAGTCACATAACATTATAGTGGTCAACAGTCACATAACATTATAGTGGTCAACAGTCACATAACATTATAGTGGTCAACAGTCACATAACATTATAGCAGTCAACAGTCACATAACATTATAGTAGTCAACAGTCACATAACATTATAGTGGTCAACAGTCACATAACATTATAGTGGTCAACAGTCACATAACATTGTAGTGGTCAACAGTCACATAACATTATAGTGGTCAACAGTCAACAGTCACATAACATTATATTGGTCAATAGTCACATAACATTATAGTAGTCAACAGTCACATAACATTATAGTGGTCAACAGTCAACAGTCACATAACATTATAGTGGTCAACAGTCACATAACATTACAGTAGTCAACAGTCACATAACATTATAGTGGTCAACAGTCACATAACATTATAGTGGTCAACAGTCACATAACATTATAGTGGTCAACAGTCACATAACATTATAGTGGTCAACAGTCACATAACATTATAGTGGTCAACAGTCACATAACATTACAGTAGTCAACAGTCACATAACATTATAGTGGTCAACAGTCACATAACATTGTAGTGGTCAACAGTCACATAACATTGTAGTGGTCAACAGTCACATAACATTATAGTGGTCAACAGTCACATAACATTATAGTGGTCAACAGTCACATAACATTATAGTGGTCAACAGTCACATAACATTATAGTGGTCAACAGTCACATAACATTATAGTAGTCAACAGTCACATAACATTATAGTGGTCAACAGTCAAATAACATTATAGTGGTCAACAGTCACATAACATTATAGTGGTCAACAGTCACATAACATTATAGTGGTCAACAGTCACATAACATTATAGTGGTCAACAGTCACATAACATTATAGTGGTAAACAGTCACATAACATTATAGTAGTCAACAGTCACATAACATTATAGTGGTCAACAGTCACATAACATTATAGTAGTCAACAGTCACATAACATTATAGTGGTCAACAGTCACATAACATTACAGTAGTCAACAGTCACATAACATTGTAGTGGTCAACAGTCACATAACATTATAGTGGTCAACAGTCACATAACATTATAGTGGTCAACAGTCACATAACATTATAGTAGTCAACAGTCACATAACATTACAGTAGTCAACAGTCACATAACATTGTAGTGGTCAACAGTCACATAACATTATAGTGGTCAACAGTCACATAACATTATAGTAGTCAACAGTCACATAACATTATAGTGGTCAACAGTCACATAACATTACAGTAGTCAACAGTCACATAACATTATAGTGGTCAACAGTCACATAACATTATAGTGGTCAACAGTCACATAACATTATAGTAGTTAACAGTCACATAAC